CCCTTGTGAAAAGAGAAGAGACAAGAGACTGCTACGGCAGGCGAGGATATAGGAAAAAGGCAGCCACCTCTAAGCAAGAAGAGGGCCGTGTGTGTGTCGTCCCCCGACCCCCCTGCCATGGAAAAGAACCCAACCATGCTGGAACCGGATCTGACTTCCGGCCACCACGAAATGTGAGAAATAAAATGTTAGTTGTTTAAGCCAGCCAGTCTAGGACACTGTGTTATGACAGCCGAAGCTAACACAAAAGTGTACAGTTACTGCTCGGTACTCAAGGAGATTAAAGCTGTGACCCTCACACAGAGATGGCAAAATGCTAGGATGCTCAATAAAAGGCGTATAAAATGGCACAGTATTTGCAGAAAATCTACGGACATCCTCCCATATACTTTAAATCATGGGCTGGGGATCTATCTCAGTGACAGAGCGTGTTCGCAGCTAACTAATGTAAGGCCCTGGATTGAATTCTCAGCACCAAAAAGAAAAACCCTCTAGGTCACTTATAATACCTTAATAAAATGTAAATGCTATGTAAGTAGTTGATAGGGAATAATAACAAAAAAAATCTATACATATTCTGTACCGACACAACCATCACAGGTCTACCTACACAATGTAAACAAGATGCAGCGGTCACACAAGTGCTGTACGGGGCGGAGTCCTAAGGAGCTGGAAGTACAGTAAGATCCAGCTTGTATGCTACACATCAGTTCATTAGCATGGACTCACCACAGGCCTGGTGCCTTGAAAACCAATGGCCATCTTCCTTGACGCCTGGACAGCTTTCAGTCCAGCTGTCGCAACCCTCATGGTGACTCCCATTGGCTTCCTGACCCAACAGCCCTGCCGTGTGCTCCCTAGTCTCTGCCCTCTCCTCTTGCCTGTCTCCAGTGCCCACTCCTCCTCCTCTTGGAGCTTCCACCCTTTGGTATTCTTCAGGGCTCCAGCCTGGGTGCTCTACTCACTCCCTCCAAGGGGCCCCACCCACCCGCTCTGCTTCCTGCACCACTCATCCCTGGGAATTCACAGCTCCCAAAGTTCCATGTTCATTCACCGACTTCTGCGCTCTAGACCCACCTTGGCAGCCAGCAACTGGACCTCTCTGCTTCCACGTCTCACTGACTCCGCAAATTCAACTAAGGTGTTAATGGTCCTCTCCTCCAGGACAACACTTGCCCCTTTCTTAGCATTTACTGTTCCTTAAGACAGATACCAGAGAATCATTTGACCACTTTTCCTCTCTATCCCCATTTAGTGAAAAATTTATTTTAAAGCTCTTATCATTTATAGAACTGTTTAACTTAATACAAAATATTTTTTAAAATAAAATTCTTACCCTTTTATTTACTTTGGGGTTTTTTTTTTAGATAGGGTCTTGCTCTGCAATTCAGACTGGCCTTGAACCCACTTTGTAGTGTAGGTAGGCCTTGAACTCATAGCAATTCTCCTGCCTCAGCCTCCCAAGTGCTGACTATTTTTGTTTCTAAATCTTCCCAATTCATCCACTTCTCCCTATGTCTTGCCTGGCTACTAAAAAACTATCCCTGCTGGCCTGTTGATGGCCTCCATCACTGCCCAGGCCCTCACTCCCTTCTCTCACAACTGTTGTGATCCTGTAACACAGCAATATGTGTTTCTCTGGCAGATCCTACAATAATCACAATTCCACCTTCCTGCACATCAGAGCTGCAAGGTTCATCAAGGAAGGGACCCGGTATTACTGCTGTGGTCTGGGTCCCAGCCCTGTCTATGAACCTTTGTTGTATTGTGCCCACTGTTCAAAGAATAAACACAATTCCCTCTTCCCAGGTACCTAAATCCTTCCCATCCTCTATGCCCAGCACATGCCTTGCTTCCTCTCTGTTCTCCCAAATCGCCACCACTCCCAGCACTCACCAAGGACTGCCTTGCATCGTGATGCACCATCTCGGAATGTCACACCTTCCGCAGAGAATACAAGCTCTAAAGGACGGGAAGGATGAAAGAGACGTAAAAAGATTTTCCAAACTGCCAATGCTAACAAGTATTTCTGCAACTATCTGAACACTGATTTTGCATTCTCCAAAGCACTTAGCCTACCAACAAAATTAAGACATTAAACTACATTAAAGTTTCCAACTAAATTTTAAGATGTTTTTATTATACGTCTCTGATCCAAAATTATCAGTAGCTAAAAAGACTAACATCTCTAATATGCAACAAGACATGAAGAAATCATTGCATGTGTAAGTTTCCCTTCTTTGCAAAATAAGGCATGCATGGGCCAAAAAAACAACCAGAGTGAGACCAGCAGTCAAATTCAAATATAACTATAATCTTGTTCATTCAACACTTATGATTCCTTATTTTCACTTTAAATTCATCCCACAGAACCTATAAACATAAATGACTCTCTAGCCAGGTGTGCTGGCACATGCCTGTAATCCCAGCACTTGGAACCCTGAAGCAGGAGGATCGCTGCAAGTTCAAGTCAACACCAGCCTGGGCTATAAAGTGAGTTCAAATCCAGCCTGAACTACACAAAATGAACTATATTTTGAGAGCCTATCTCAAAAAAACAAAAACAGCATTCAAAATATCTGAATTTCTCCAAAATACTTTTTAAAAAATCAAATATATTAAGCCCCAAAACTCTTAATTCAGAAACATCTTTCTAAAGTCTTTCTAACTAAGTTTATTGACAGACTTAAGATTAGACTTTCAAGTGGCTCTCAAAAATAATTGCAGGAGCCAGGCATGGTGGCGCATGCCTGTAATCCCCGCACTCGGGAGGCTGAGGCAGGAGGATCGTTGCGAGTTCAAGGCCAGCCTGGGCTACAAAGTGAGCTTATGGCCAGCCTGAACTGCACAGCGAGACCCTGTCTTTAAAAAACAATATAAAACAAAAAAATTTAAATTAAAAAAAAATTGCAGATTACTGAGCTGTATCAATCACTGTGCTGAATATATGAGGTACCAAATAATATAATTAATAGTTATTCATTCCCATGCCCTCAGGATAAGTCTGGGGCCCAGAGAGCTGATCCCACCGTCACAGGCTACTCAGCATCAACCAAATCAAACTCTGTCTGACACTGCAGACCCTACAGAATGTCAACCCAAGGTCTCCTTCCAGGCTTATCCTCCGTTATCCTCCCCACAAAGCCTTTGCTGTCCCAGACTCTCCCAGGTGACTGATAGGCAAAGCACCATCACGGACTTGCTCTTTGCACCCATTCTCTCCAACCTCATCCTATGAATTTGTCTTGTGAATTGTTATCCACCCACCTCCTCCGGGAAGCCTTGCCTGACTTCCTCTGGGAAGTGATCCCAGGCACCCTTGACTTCCACCACTTAGTTCATACTTTTCCTCTTACTGCACTTACCAGGGAGCACCTCATACTGTAGTCACCTGCGTTCATGCTGGACTCCTCTACAAGAGCAGCTCCTCAAAGGCACAGGCTGATTCACAGCCGTTTCTGTATCCCGCACAGCCCCTTGGCAGAGCTTCCTGTAGAATAGATGGTCAACAAATTTCACTCTCACCAATGGTATACGTTTCTTTACCACAAGTGTACATTTCTCTTCCACGTATATCAAGAGATCTGCATTATCGAAACCATGAGAGGGGACAACCCTGCAAAGCAGATCTTTTCACTGACCCATGCAGCATTTAATGAGCCTGTACATCTGAGACACTGGCCAGGCACTGTGCACTCTAAGTAAGACACACAGCCTCCAGAACTCAAGGAACCCAGAACCCAAATTCCAAACTCAAGTGTTTTTAAAAAATAAAACACACCAGCCAGGTGGGGTGATGCAAGCCTGTAATCCCAATATTCTGGGAGGCTGAGGCAGGAAGATAGTAAGTTCGAGCCCAACATGGGCAACTTAAACCCTGTCTCAAAATAGAAATAAATTTTAAAACCTAGGATGTAAATCAGTGTGAAGGCCCTGAGTTCAACCTCTAGTGAGAAACAAAATCTCCAACACCAGAAAAGAGAAAGGTAAACAATATAATGCAATTATGTACAAGAAAGGAGGCACAGTACAGGGTCTAGAGTGTCACAAGGTGCATGACAGAGTTAGAGGCGAACAACAGTCAGGGTCACTAACTCTCCTATGCAGCTTGTAACCACAGAACACTCACTACCCTCCTGGATGCCTCTACAGTCAGAAAACCTGATCATAAAGTCAGTCTACTAAAGGCATAGTCAGGCTGTGTCGTGGATGCAAATTTTAACTCAAAACTCAAGGAATTCGGAGCAACTGGAAAAGTAACTGTTTCTGCGTCTGCTGGCTCCTGGCTAGCTGTTTGGAAGCAGGAAAAGCTAGAGAGCTGCTCGGAACAGTTAACGCGCCCAGGAGCGTGTGTCAATGCGCAGAGCCGCAAAGCGTGAACCCAGTTTTACTGAGAACCCCCTATCCTCGGGAGGACCTGCAGCCCGGTCCCCATCACCAGGCCGACCCACGGCTGTTCCCCGGGTCGCATCTCCCGCCACACCGAGGGCGGCACGAGGCCAGCGCGGGCTGTGTCCCGCGCCCCTCGGGGTGTCCCGGGCGCCGGGCCGGCCGTCCGCGAGCACGAATGAATGACAGGCGTCCCTCCCCGCCGCGCTCCGCTGCGGGCTGCGGGCCCGGGCGCTCCTTCGCCCCAGCTGCAGATCTGGAGCGGGGCTGGCGGACCCCAACCTTCAGGCGCCCTTAGCCCAGCAGCGGACTCCACTTCCTTTAAATTCCGGCCCGCGGAAACCTCCCTCCTTCGCACTCCCCCACAGTGCCCGGTTTACCTACAAAGGGCCTCCAGGTAGCCGTCCAGGCGAAGTGAGGATAACACCGCAGCCGCCGAGACGCTAGCCCCGCCCACGCCTCCGGAACCGGAAGCCGAGGGAATTAAGAAGCGGACGGGAGAAAGCTGTGGCTCCCTTTGTACGCGGTGATTGGTGCATCAACAAGAGCAATGGGCGTGCGGACCAATCGTCCGTTTCAGAGTCCTCCAATCCGGAAGCGCAACCGGGTGAGGGTGTTTCCGCCGCGAGACTGCTGCGGGACAGCACTGCTGCTTTCCCGGGTGGTTGCCGGGCGCCGGGGGCTCCAGGCATGGGTGACACCGCTGGACCGCGCGCCTGCCTGCGGCGCTACCCCGAGCTGCCGGTGTGGGTGGTGGAGGATCATCAGGAGGTGAGCGGGTGGCTGCCCGGCCTGCGCAGGATCGCCCGGAGCCCAGTCCGGTGTCCTTGGCTTGAAGTTGACGCTGCTCCCCGCCTCAGCCCTGCAGTTTCAGCGGGAGACTGACGCTGAGAACCGAGCTCGTGTGCCCGACACTGGGATAGTACTCGTCCTGTCGTATGCATGTTGTGTACCTGTGTCAGCCTGTAATCCGAGCGCGCGGGAGGCTGAGACAGGATGGTCCCGAGTCCCGAGTTCGAGATTAGCCTGGAATATATAATGAGCCCTTGCCTCAAAAAAGAAAAGAAAAAACGGGGAGGGAGGAGGTCAGAAATTATTAACATGAAAAGACGTTTCCATTTTGTAACTGTGCTGCCCTATAGTAGGAAAATCGATGCTTTAATCTAGATTTCTGGACGCCAGCGCAGGAGACCCGTAGATCTGAGGAATTTGTTTAAAAATAACATTCACAGACTGTGGGAGTTTTGTGGATAGAAAAAATGAAAGAGGCCAGGAGTGTACTTCAGGGGTAAACCCCTTGCCTGGCATGCTTGAGGCCTCGATCCCCAGCACCATACAAAATAAATTTTAAAAAAAGGAAGAGAGATTTACTGGTGGAGAAAGTTAAAAGAAAGAGTTGAGTTTCCTGGGACCTAGACAGTGTCTGTGGGCGTGAGAGAGGCCCGAAGTGCTGATTAGGTGGTACCTTCAAACTCAGTATTAATCCTAGAACTCTAGAGAGTGCAAGGTGAGAAAAGGTGAGAAAAACTTACGAACTGCCTAGCCCAGTACCCTAAGGGTACTGAAAAAGACCCCAAGACCTCGGGGTCCAAAAACAGTTAGTGCTAGAATGAACATTAACTAGCAGTTTGTTCTTGAGCCCTAGTCCCGATGTACTTGCCCGCATTAACTGTTGGATTTGAGATGGGGGCAGGGAGGCACCTAGAGATCAATTTGGAAGTTCTGAGGGAAAAAATAAGGTTCGTCTGAGCATCTACAGTAAACCAGCTTCATATTTTTCCCACTTTTAACAATTTGGTGTGCTTTAAAGTATGTGCAGTTACGTTCAGCGCTGTTTTTCTGTCTGTTCTTGAGTGTGCCCGATTCCGGTGCCGATTCTGAGTCTGCACGTGCGTGTCTTTCACAGGTTCTGCCTTTCATATATCGCGCCATAGGATCCAAGCATCTTCCTGCCAGTAATATAAGGTTTTTACACTTCGACTCCCATCCAGACCTCCTCATTCCTGTGAATATGCCAGCAGACACCGTGTTCGATAAGGAAACACTATTTGGGTAATGTGATTTTTGTTAATAATCTTTTATGTTCTTAGTTACATTTCTCTTGTTACTGAGACAAAATACCAGGCACCCAAAGTTAAAGGGGGAAAGGTTTATTTAGCTCACAGTTTGTGGAGGTTTCAGTCCATGTCAGCTGGCTCTAAGACAGGGGGGCACATGGCAGAGGGCCACAGTTCATGGCGGGGAAGACAGCAAAAGCAACAGGGGAGAGAGGAAGACAAACCTCTTTCTGTCCCTTACATTGTATCCAGTCTACCGGGAATAGGGTGATGCCAGTCCAGTCAGTAGACTGATCAAGCCATCACCCACCCTTAATCTGACCAACCTTAATCCCAGCATTGCACTGTGAATCAATCATACATTAGATTCAGCCACCTCTGAAACAACTCTGACTGCATGAGGCTTTGGGGGAACATCTAGGTACAAGCCATAACATAGGTGTTTGAAATACGGTTTGGAGTATACAATAAACTGTTAAGGTTGCCAGGTATGGTGGCACATGCCTGCAATCCCAGCACTCAGGAGGCTGAGGCAGGAGGATTGTTGCGAGTTCGAGGCCAGCCTGGGCTACAAAGTGAGCTCAAGGCCAGCCTGAACTGCATAGTGAGACCCTGTCTCAAAAAGAAAAAAGAAAAAAAAACAGTTAAGGGAAATAGACTTTGCTAAACTCGTAGGTTTGGTTTTTAGTTTTCTTTTTCATTTTACTTAAACAAGCTACAACAACCATTTTCTTAAAGAGCCAGATAGTAAATATTTGTAGGTTCACTGGCCGTAGGTTCTATGCAACAACTACTTACTTCTGTCTTTGTTGTGTGAAAGCCCATACATGCTGTGTTAACAAGTAGCAGGAGCTGTTTTCATAAAACTTTATTTAGAAAAACAGCGCAGCCAGTGTATGCGAAGTTCTAATCAGGAGTCTAGAACTTAGACAAGTTGAAAAGACTTTACTAGTGATCTGAAAAAGCACGCCCTTCTTCTCTGTTACAGTCTGAATGCTGAGGTATAAGAAGATGTGTCTTACTGACACAGTTCATTGTATGAGGAACACATCTTAATCTGTCTGTCCTTTTTTGAAGTACTGACCTCCCTCTCCCTCTCAGTGTATTTTTGGGTCACAAATCCTGTTGATTTTTAGTTACATAGAATCATAGAGACGGAATTGAAACTGGGAATTGCTACCCCACCCTTCAGAGAGCATCATATCTAATATACCTTTCGTGATGACAGCTGGCCTCTTTTTCTGTAATATAGTTCCCTGAAATTCTGTCACTGTCCCTTCATGGATACAAATTGCAACAATAATTCTTTTTTTTTTTTTTTTTTTTTTTTTTGGAGACAGGGTCTTGATATGTAGTTCAGACTGGCCTTGAACTCACCCTAGGTTGGACTTGAATTTGTAGCAGTCCTTCTGCCTCAGCCTCCCAAGAGTTGAGATAGGCATGCACTACCATGCCTAGCAACAATAATCCCTAAAGAAATGTGGTAGCTCTACTTTTGCCCTTATTTGCTTTTATATTTGGAAGTTTTATATTTTACAAATTGAAAAAAAAAAAAGAATGAGATATGCATTATGTATTGATATAAACAAGATCCTTTACGGAAGCTAAATATATTTTCCAAAACAAAAACTACTTAAATTCTGAACATGGTGGTGCACTCCTATAATCCCAGCACTCAGGAGGCTGAAGCAAGAGGATGACCATGAGTTTGAGGCAGCCTGGGCTACATAGTAAGTTCAAGGCCGGCCTGCAAGATAGCAAGATCGTATCTCAAAAAAAAAAAAAAAAAAAAAAAAGAGGGAAGAGTGGCATTTTTTAACTTCTTGTGGGTTTCTTTTATATTTCCCTTTATGGAAAATGGCTGGGCTTACATATCTGCTTTTGCATTCAGTCTGTCACCATATGTTTTGGCTCAACTTTATAATGAAAATTCAGGCTCTCATAAACATGTAGTTAAAGAAGAAAGAGAATTTTCATAGACTTTTCAGATAGTTATAAATATTTGTTGAAGCCGTGTGTAGTGGCACACGCCTATAATCCCGGCACTCGGGAGGCTGAGGCAGGAGGATCAGTTCGAATTGAGACTAGCCTGGGCTACAAAGTGAACTCAAGGCCAACCTGAACTGCATAGGGAACCGCTGTCTCAAAAAAGAAAAAAAAAAAAAAGGGCTGGGGATTTAGCTCAGTGGCACAGCGCCTGCCTGGCAAGCACAAGGTCGTGAATTTGGTTCCCGGTACTGGAAAAAGAAAAAGAAAAAATCAAAAAAAAGAAATATTTGTTCAGACTACACTGAAACATGTCAGCTGATAATTCCTTAAAGCCTTTTTGGAATGTAGACCCTAATAATTCAACCTCCAGGCTAAATAACAATACTTTTTTGATCAGTCCTATGTTCTTTCTTTTTTTTTTTGCTGGAGATTGAATCCTGAGCCTTTACACTGAGCTACATATCCAGCCCTTTTTTATTTTTGAGACAAGTTCTGCCGAGTTGCTAAGTTACATAGGCTGGGCCTGAACTTGCCATCCTCCTCAGCCTCCCAGAGTGCTGGGATTGCAAGCACCGCCACATCTGACCTTGATCATTCCTTCCTTCAAGAAAAATGCTGTTGGGTTTGTAATTGAAACACAAGTGCTTTTCTTGGGAGCAACCGTTGTACTTCAAGGTGTGCAGCAGAAGTGCTTTCTGTGCACCTCTGTTTTGCTACACAAAACATTTAAAAGTACACACTCACAATCTAGCATTAAGAAAATCAAGGGCAGTCTTTGGTGAAGCTAGCAGCTGCTGCTTTTTTTTTTTTTTGACTAGTCCTTCATGATGAAAACCGTGACTACATGTAGAGTTTGTTCTGTTGTATTGATGAATCCTAGGGCATCAACTCACGACTACTCTTGAATCATCAGGACAAACGTCAGTACAATGTAAGAGAGAAATTATACCTTAGTGTTCTTAAGAATATGGTTTTAAACTAGTGGTCATCCTGAAAAAGTTTCGGGAACCTCCCCCAGCCCCACTCTCTGAGACCAGCTATCTTAAAATTCTGTGGATGTAATGACATTTAAGAAAATACATTATCATGTTAGTGGTTCTTCTCTTCCCTTTTCAGAGAATTAAGCATTGAAAACTGGATTATGCCTGCGGTTTACGCTGGCCACTTCTCTCACATAATATGGCTTCATCCCACATGGGCGCAACAAATCAGAGAAGGAAAGCACCATTTTTTAGTAGGCAAAGATACCTCTACCACAACAATCAGGTAATTTCCTCATACTTACAAGTGTAAAAGGAATGCTTTGTTCTGAATGCTTTATTCTTACCTAGGTTTCTTATAGCTTCCTCATATTCTCTTTATACAAACAGGGCAGATTAAGCCTCAACCCTCCCCAATATAATGTGTTAAGTTTAACAGGAATGAGTAAGCAAAATTATGTCACTTTGGTATTTTTTTAATAAATCAAATGGCTAAATAGGTAGATTGTAGCTTTTAGTTTTATTAATGTGATGAGTTTTAGGTAATAACTTAGTCCCAATTAAGTTACAGAGCCTCGATTTGAGTTATATGTTCCTGTTTTTGTTGTATAAGCTAACAAGTTTTTTTAATATATCATGATACTATAACAGTTTCTAAAATACCAGTGTGCCCTTTCTGAATTCTCTTGCAGTGGGATGAATATTTTAAGCATTATAACCACAGCTTTCTAGAACTTGAAGAGTAGTGGGATGAAATGGTAATACATTGAGAGTGAAATAAAGTCTTATTGAAAATGATACTTTTTATTTCTGCATTAACATCAATTTGGTAGTATGTGCTCTTATCATTTGCACAAATAACTTTTTTGTGATATGAAAATTGAATGTATTTGTTATATAATTTGAAAGAAAAATTAGGAATCAATACAGTAAATGTTTATAATACTGGTCTGTGTGAAACAGTAGATTTTATAAGTGAGTGGACCTAATTTAAAATGCAAAATCAAATAATTTTGCATGGTTTCACCCAGCATTTGAAGCTCTGTGACAATAATATTTGGAGTATTTTGATTATCTCATGATTTTAGTTAATCCTGCGAGTAGCAATGTATGGAATAAGTATTGTTTATATTTAGTCTGAGATTACACGTGTACTGAATAAGCAGGATCAAAGTAAAACTTCCATTACTGCAAAGAACATAAATTTAGGCTGGGGATAAAGCCTTTGTCTTTCTTAGGATGGTACAGTTTTTAATAAACTTGAACATTAGTTTTATTGTAGCATAAATCTATTTTTTGTGCAACTATATATCCTCGGTGTGGGCAGGTGGGAAGTAAATGCTGTCCTTTTGCTTGATAAGGGTGTATCTCTGGAAGAAGTGTACTGGACCATACTGTTGTAAGTATTCATGGAGGCACAATATAGTTGAAACGCTGAGAACATGCTCCCGTGTCTGGAGTCAGAAACTCCACTGGGCACCTGTAGTCCTGGATACCGGGAGGCTAAGGTAGAAGGATCACCTGAGGCAAGGAGTTGAGGGTACAGTCTGGGCAACACAGTGACAGAGAAAGAGGGAGAGAGGGAGAGGTGGTGAGGAGTGAGAGGGGGAAAGAGAGAATAAAAAAGAGAGACAGGTCCGCATCTTGTGGAATGCATGCTCCAAGTGCATGGATAGTTTTAAGTTACTTTTCATGTTGATAATATTATGGTTGTATAGAGCTTAACAAAGCTTTGACTGTCAGAAGGAATTTGTCTTAAGAGAAAGACGAGCTTATTTCCAGTCGTAAATTTTCTCTTGTGTGACTTCTGATAAAGATTCAGCTGGTGCGAGAGAAACTGGAGTAGCACTGGCTTAAACAAAGGGGTTTGTTTCTCTCTGATGTCAGAGTGCACCACACGCAGTCCAAGCCTACATGGCAGCTCCACAGTTTGGGGAGCTCTGCTTCCTTCCGTGTTCATGTTCCACTATCTCCAGAGTCCTCACAGGCCAGGGCAACTTTACGTTCTGTGTTTGCTGCCAGGCAGCACAGAGCAGGAGAGCAAGGCTCTAGACACTTCGCCTCCATTCAGAGCCACTGGCCAGCATTTTCTCAAATGGCCATAGGTAGACTATGAACTGTACTCTTCACTTCAGGCCATTGAGTGCCCAGCTATGATATGGAGAAGGATATTTCTGCAAAAGAATGGGAAGAACAAATGCTGATGACCACTCTCAGTTTTTGTGAAATATATCTCTTCTTCTATCTGTAATACCGTACTGAAATGTCATTTAATGTGTCCATTCTTCATTGAAATAATTTCTTCCTCTGATCCAGGGTCACAAGTACAGATCATTACTTCCTAAGTGATGGCCTTTTCGTACCTGAAGACCAGCTAGAGAATCAGAAACCATTGCAGTTGGATGTAATTATGGTGAAGCCTCATGAATTTGGTGCCAATCAAGAAGAAAATGCTGCAGAGTCTTCTGCAAAGAAGCCCAAGCTGGCACTGGACGATTCGGAAAACACTGCCGCCGCTCACTGTGACTCTTATTCAGGAGAACTGGAGGACACAGGGACACAGAGCATGGGCCAAGCTTGCCGAGAGCCGTCGTGTTCCTGTTTTTGTTCTTCCGAAACTCAGCCATGCCAGACTACAGCCTGCACTCAGCAGATTCTGGAAATTTTGAAGAAAGACAATGCGTTTGTTTTAGATATTGACTTAGATTTTTTTTCAGTCAAGAATCCCTTCAAAGAAATGTTCACTCAGGTAGACACTTTTTAAAACATAGCTCTTAAGAACTCTATGTCATCTCTCTAGATTAGAGTGTAGGAAACTCCACCGATAGCCAGATAGTAATTATTTTAGGTTTTGGAGGCTACAGTCCATCACATACTCTTCTTTTTCATCTTTTAAAATTATATACAGTTTGAGCCTTCCTAATTCCAAAATCTAAAATACTCCAAAATTCAACCTCTTTTGATAATCATGATAAAATGCACTAGTTAAGTCTATCCAAGATATTCCAAAATCCAAAAATCGCCAAAATCTAGCTGGACGTGGTAGCATACTGCAGTCCCAGTGCTCTGAGAGGCTGAGGTAGAACGATCACAAATTTAAGCCCAGGCTGAGCAGCTTAAGCTACTTAACAAGACTGTGTCTCAAAATTTTAAAAATGGCTGAGCGTGTAGCATAGCTCAACATGCATTGCCTGGCATGCACAAGGCTCTGGGTTTATTCCCCAGTAACACACACACAAAAAGACATCAAAAAATCTGAAATACTTTTGGTCCCAAGCGTTTTGGGTAAAGGATATTTCATCTTTATTATACTTTAGAATTGAGTAGGTTTGTTTTTAATATCACAAAGAAAGATAGTAGAGACTTCTGTTATGACTATTATTATAAACTGTGTGATGTTAGGAAAGTTACTTAATGTTTTGACCTGCAGTTTTTCAAATATAAACTGAGAATGATAACTATACCCAGCCGCCTGAAGAGATAGCACAGGGGTAGGATACTTGCCTGGCATGCACAAGGCTCTGGGTTCGATCCCTAACACTGAAAAATAATCACACTCAACTCTTAGGATTGTTAGGATTGGTAAAGCACTGAGAATGGTGCTAAACATTGTGTTTGTAAGTTTCAAATCTTAGATATGATTTCTTCCTGGCAGTAGCCTTACGTAGGGTTATTTGGGCCAAGTGCATTCACCTACATAATGAAACTGGTTGTGCCAAACAAGGACAGGCGTTGTCCCACAGAGTCTGGGTGTAGCGGGCATCTTTCTTCCTCTGTGTGGAACCACCTAACAGCGGTGTTGTAGTTGCCAGTGCACTACCAGCAGTGTGTTTGTGTTCCATTTTTATTTCATTACTGGAAAGCTGGCTGTACCCTGAAAGCTTTTTTATCAGCATCAAACACATGTATACCTCCTATAAACAGCTAAAGTTGATTAAGATCCTACACTATGTCCATCTACATGATGGAATGTTATTTCCCTCTCATGACCCAATAGCTACCTAGTCTTCCGTAGTGACCGTTTATTGTTGTGGCCAATTGGATAAGAGTTGCCCTGAAGAAATTCGGTTTACAGGGGGAATCTGTAATATACATTTTGCCTGATTCTTCCAAACAAGTTATTGAATAATTATCTGAGATCCTCTCTTTCTATCACAGGCAAATCTGTCTTTCACTTAAAGCATATCACTGAAAAAAAATTAACAGATGTTTTGTTTTCTAGGAGGAATACAAAATTTTACAAGAGCTCTATCAGTTTAAAAAGCCTGCTAGCAACCTAACTGAGGTATCTGCCATTTGTTTCTTTTGGATTTTATGCATTTATTACTTCTCTAGTAGTGTCTTACAACTTATTAGCGTGATCTTAAAGAACTGTCCAAATGTGTGTGTGTGTGTGTGTGTGTGTGTGTACATGTGTGCGCGCATACACGTGCATACGCACGCATGCGTGCATTTATGTTTATTGGTCAAGCCCATCATTATATGAAAATAATGTGTTAAAGATTTTCATTATAATAGGATTTCACTTGTTTTTTGAAAGAATAACTGTATATTCTCAGCTTTTCAATGTATTTAAAGGAAGATTTGGTAGATATTGTTGATATTCGAATCCATCAATTAGAAGACTTGGAAGCAGCTTTTGCTGATCTGTGTGATGGTGATGATGAAGAAACTGTGCAGAGATGGGCTTCCAACCCGGGGTAAGGCCTAAAACATTTTCTTTGACTCCAAGTCTACTAGTTATTAGTCCTAAATATATACCTAAATTTGTTAAGTGGCTTTTTAAAAATGAATATTTAGCCAGGCATGGTGACATAAATGCTGGGAAGCTAAGGCAGGAGGATTGCAAGTTAAGAACCCAGCCTGGGCAGCTTACCAACCTAGCAAGACCCTGTCTCAAAATAAAAAGGGCTGGAGCTTTAGCACAGTGTGAAGATTTTGGGTTCAATCCCCATTACTGCCCCCAAATACTATTTCATTTCAACACAGACTCACCGATAGCAGCATTTATTGAGTGTTTTTAGTGTGGTCTGTATCTAAGGATTTCCCTTGCATTGTGTCATTGTTTTCCTTATAACAACCTATGGATACTTTATTACTCTGTTCATTTTACAGATGAGGAAACTAAGGCACAGAGTTAAGTACATTTCCCAAAGTCACATTGTACATGAACGTGCTTTTCAATTGTCATGCAAGAGCTGACCCTAGGTCATATAGAGAATTAAAGATGAGTACCTGGGTAGTCCCTGGTCTAAGTAGAATAAGAAAAAAAAAAAATTAAGCCATCAATAGAGAAGTAAATTACTTGACAATAAATTGCAACAGGAAAACTGGCCTCCCTTAAGAATAGCTCATTGAAGAAGTGATAAATGCCTGAGGTAATGGATATACATACCAACTACCCTGATCTGATTGTCACATGATATTTACATGAGCAGAAGTACTACATTGTATCCTATAAATATGTACAGTTATGTGTCAAATTAAAAAAAGACTAGCCCAGCTACAAGTAGTTGAGTTTATCTTCAGTCTATTCATGACATGAGGGAAGAAGATTTGAAGGCCAGATTCTTTATCTGATCACTGATGTCAGCATGATTCTCATGTTGTCAACATTAAAAAACACAAAAAGTCCTGTGGAACCTGGCATGAAAGAATATACTGTAGTTACTTTTCTCTAAAATGTCTTATAGGGCTGGAGATGTAGCTTAATGGTAGAGCACTCTCGTAGTATATGCAAGGCCCTAGGTTCAATCCCCAGCACCGCAGAAATAAAGAAACAAATAAATAAATAAAATGTCTTATAAACTATACCAAAAAACTACAAACTATTAGACAAAATTTTTATCCTTATGCACATAGGAAGACCAGACTTATTTTAAAATTAATCACCCACACCACACTGAATAGTTTTTTAAAAGAAATCAGTCATATTGCAACATACAATAGAAGGTTAGGATTACAGTGTGTTTAGGTCCAAATATGAAAAACCCCTTAGATTTGTCCTGTGATGCATATTAAAACAAATTCATCAGTGAATTGGTCATGATGGCACATGCCTTTAATCCCACCACTCTGGGAAGGTGGAGCAGGAAATAGAAAGTTTGCACCAAACCTGGTGAACTTAGCAAGACCCAGTGTCAAAGTTTAAAATTTGAGGGCGGAGGAGATGTCATTCAGTGTTAAGGCCCTAGGCTCAGTCCCCCATACTGTGGGGGAAAAATAATAATTTATCAGCTCTCTAGAAGAACACAGAAACGGGTAGAGTGGTTGCCTCTGGAGAGAGGAATCCTGGCTAAGAGATGAAGTAGATGAGCAAGAGACCCCTTCTGCTATGTTTGTGTATCACCTACTCAACATACTCACTGTGTATTTTACGTTAAAATAATGCAGAGACATTTCTGAAATGTAAATATCAAAGCTTTTATTATTGTTGTTAAGGAAGCAGTGATATGGAAAAATAATTCATAATAGTTTAATCACATTGGTAAGTACTGATTAGACACTTTAACATCAGTTAGTGCCTTTTTAGTATAGGGAGTTCATTCTAAAAAATTATTCTTTTTTTTGAAACTATAATGGGAGAGGAAGGTAGAGAAATAAATTACAAGATGTGAGTCCTAGAAATACTGAAAAATACCCACTGTTTTGTGATTCTAGATCTCAAGCCAAGTTTCAGACTCAAACAGTATCAGGAATAACTGTAGGTGTCTTAGAATCTTGGATGTAGACCATAAAGGTGTCCCCTCCTCTGAGACCCACTGTGACTGCCGAGCATGCCCAGTAGCACTTCAGCACGTGCAGGGAGCCCTGTTACAGACTCAAGGCTCAAGGAGACTGTGGTTGGAATGGTGGGGAGCAAGAACAGCCACGGAAATGTGGGTAACACAATAGGGAGCATTTATTTCTTCATATTTTAAGATGATATTCAAGCAGCTTTATCTTTCATTCCTAAATACCATACAAAGCCTATCGTCCGTGGTGGGCGTTAAGTGTAATGTATCATTTGCTACTGTAATTTTAGTTGATGTGGTGGTGGTGTCTCATTGAGTGGGTTGGCTTTTTTCCAGAATGGAGTCACTAGTTCCACTTGTACAGAGCTTGAAAAAACGCATGGAAGTGCCAGACTATGAGATGGTAAATATTTACATTAAAGTGTAAAACTGACCCTTTTAAAAGGCAATTTTTTGAAGAGGACAATCTGGTTTTTGTTAAAATGGTTCGTTTTTATTCATGTTCCTGAAGTTTAAATTAATTACGAGAAAAGAAGTAAGTAAAAAAATAGTGTAGTTTTTAGAAACCAGAATACTGGAAAAGCTTTCTAGGAAAAACATTTTCTTAATTTTATGTGCGATGCAAAAATACTGTTATTGTTTTTTTACTTCACCACAGAGTAAGTCCAGAACATCTAAAATTGTCCATTTCTTACTGATTCCAGTCCATACTCCCTTTGTCCTTTCTTTTCCTCTTTCTTTGAAAACTTCTGACTGTAAAAATCAAGAGAGAAAGATAGAAGAGCTGCGCCTACTACATTCTGAGTATGTCAGCTCTTTTTTGTCAACAGTGATCTGAATCCTGTGGCCAAAGACACTTTTAATCATAATTTCTTTTATTCCTAGGTCATTGTATAGTCTTTGAAGGTTTTTTTTCCCATTTTACGCAGTACTTCAAATGAGAAACCTGGAGCTTGGAAGTTCAAGTGACTTTCCTCAGCATTTATGCCAAGAGCCTAAGACCTTCAATTCCTCTGCCTCATAGGCTGATGCCTCTTTTACATCAATAAGAGGTGTTTTAATCTTTTCTTTGGCTGTGAGATCCAGCAAACCACTTTATTTAAGCTGATGTTTAAGTTGTTAATGCTTATTTTGGAAGAATAAAAATATCAGCAAAAGAATTTCTTGGTTCACCCTGAGCTAATTGCAGACCCACTTTTGTTTAAGAATGTTAAGAATGAGAGTTAGAAGACACCCAGGGTTTGAAAATGCTTTGAGTTCATACGATATTATCAAATATATCTCCAGAATTTTTTAATCATTACATCTAGAATTATAGCTAGAATTTTTTATTGTTGGGGGTCTGTGTAGTGTTACCAGAGAAAAGGATAACAAGGGTTCAGTCATAGATTCTGTGATGTGCGTATAGCTGTATGGTAAGAACACTTGGGAGGTCTGATTATTTTAGGGAAGGAACATGAAGAACCCATCATTTTACCACATTGACTGATCATTACCAAAGAAATTGTTGGTGAATATCTAAAGCCACCAATAAAATAGATTAGTGTGTTTGCCATGCTTTGCTCTTATGTACTCTAGGCAAAATTATGACCTATTTGAACTCTAGTTTTCAAAGCATTAAAGCTGATATTGCAGGATACCAGCCTGTGAGCCTTATTCCTCGCTTTCGGGAATATTTACTTCAATGCTAAGACTAGAACACCATTAGTTACATTTAAAACATATAGATACTAGCAATATATCATTATACATAAAGGATATACAAGAAAACAATATGTTAAATAAAGTAGAAGACTTATTTTCTCAAAGCCCTGAAGGTAGTATTAGGTACATGTATTTTAAAAGCAAATAAAATAACGTGATAAAAGAAAAAAGTGAGAATATCACAGTTTTATAGCAAGTTTTAAACTCTAGGTGAAATACGTAATTTGCCAGAAAATTTGAATTATCAAAAATGACTGAAAAGACAAAGACACTAAGTGAACCCCTAATCAAAAAATCATGCAGTATTAGTACTAGAAAAGTAGGTCCAGATGAGTATGTAGGCCAGTTCTACCAAAACGTCAGAGAGCAGATAACATGTATGACTTAGAAACTGTGAAGGACAAAAGCAGTCCCATCCCATTAAAAAATTAAAAGATTCGTCAGTAGAATCATTGCTGGTTAAAGAATGTTTCAAAATCAGCAAAGTCTTACAATATAATTTCTAATTGTCTTACTTTCAGGTTCATCAAGCTGGTCTAACCTGTGATTATTCAGAACTTCCTCACCACATCAGCACAGAACAAGAAATTGAGTATCTCATTCAGTCTGTATATTATTTACTAAGAAAATTACCAAAACCTACACTTGTGACAATTGCAAGGTAAGTTCTGATCTCTAGAACCTGTGAACATATTGTCTTGTGTGGCAGAAGGGATTTGTATGATGAATGAAGGGTTTTGAGGTGAGATTATCTGCTGGGCCCTGTATTATTACAACAGGACTAAAAGGAGGGAGGCAGAAGGTCAGAATTGGAGAGAGTGTGCATGCGCACACACGCAAAAGATGCCACACTGCTGGGTTGGAAGATGGGAAACAGGGCCACAAGCAGGGGAATGCTGGCAGCTGCTGGGAGCTCGGAAAGGCAGGGAACAGATTCTCCCTGCATTAAAATGCCACATTAGACGCCCGTCTTAAACATCACTAAACACAGCAGTCATAAATGCAGACAGATACATATGTGTTATATCGGCCAAAAACAAACCACACTGCCATAATGACATGATTTTTCCAATTCCTGAACAAACTTTTACTAAAGATCAGGACTTAAAAATCCAGTCTTTTCTCAATTCATGGAGTAGTTACACTCCTGGAAAATTTAGTTCATACTTAATCCATTTTATTTTTAATGCATTTTGAAAAAGCTTTCTTAGTATGTAAAAGTGTTAGCTGTAAGCTTGATAAATTAAAAAACAATTTCTCACATTTGTGAATACTTCATGAACTTTGAAAAGTAGGCAGGATACAAGACAGTGGTTCATACTCAATTCTCCTGCATATTATAAGCATCCTCGCAGCCCGGCTCTCTTGTCCTGGTCACTTGACTGTCAACCACGTTCATCTAAAAATTATGATTATCAGAAATGTACCTATCCAGCTGGGGTGTACCTCAGTGATACAGCACTTGCCTAATATGTATGAGGCCCTGACTTCAATCCCTGCTACCACAACAAATGAGAGAGTTAAAAGACGTCATATTAGTGATACATGCATACCCAGGTTTATAGTGGCACAATTCATAACAGCTAAATCTTTAAAGCAGCCTCTATGTCCATCAGCAGATGAATGGATAAGGAAAATGTGGTACTTACATGCAATGAAATAAAGAAAGATAAACTCTGCCATAAAGAAGGATAAACTCGAGTCATTTGTAGGAAAATGGATATACCTTGAGAACATAGTGCTAAAGGGAAATGGACCGGGCTGTTTTATCTGTTAACATTTTTGTATACGACACTTTCAGGACATATGACCATAGGTATATGTCAGAATTTGATAATTTAACATGTTCTTGGTCATTTACTTACAGTGTCTTAAATTTTCACCCCAAGCCACAGAAGTAACCTGCTCACTAGAGAATTAACTGAGCTTGCCAGAGGTCTTATAGAGTATTTCTTTAAGTCAGAAATACCTGTGTGAAGGACTGGGCTGCTACCTAACTCGAATTCCTTCAGAAAGCTTTCTGTGCCACTCCTCTCAGCGCACCCCCAGTGGCTTTCCTCATCCCAGTCCTTCTGATCTCACCACTGATCTCACAGGTTCGCATCTTATCCAGCCATCAGTGGTGCTTGAAGGGCCCAGGCAAATCCAGTTGTGCTAGTGAGATCCAGAAAGACACCCGAGGTGCAGATTCTGCCCTGCCCCCCTCGGCTCCTTTGTCCTCCACAAAGCCTAGGAAATAACCCCAGCACAGCACGTCCCGCTTTTTATTTTTGACCAAGCCATGGATCCTTTATGTTTGTGTAGTAAACATTGTTTTAGAAGTAGGACCCTTTCATCGGTGGGAAGCCCCCACTCTTGCATACGACCGACAGAAGAATAAGAAAGGTGCCTGTCCACTAAGCTCCTAGGCGTCTGTACTCTCCAGTGACCTCTTCCTGTTGGGAAGAGATTAGAACTGTAGCAGTTAAGCCCAAACCACTGCATTTCAGACCTGTCCCCTCACTCGCTAGGTAAACTTGCACACGTGAATATCTCTTTGGTTTAGATTTCTCTAAAGACAGTGTACCAATTTTTATTGAGTTGGTGGAGAAAACTGAAGAACTAAGTCATGTAAAACACCTGACATAGCGTAAACATTTAGTAGCTTTCAATTGTTATTCCAGAATTCAACTCGCCCATGTTTCAGTTTTACATTGACCTCAACCCCTGCAGGCTTTTCCTCTCTGCACAGTATGATTTTATCCTATTTAATGTGTTTGCTTCCTCTTGTGCTTTCTCTTGCTTCCAGGTCAAGTCTGGATGACTACTGCCCTTCTGAACAAGTTGACACCATTCAAGAAAAGGTCCTTAAAGTCCTGCACTCCCTCTATGGGGCTCTGGATACTCACCTGGTGTATTCAGCAGAGTCTGCCCCAGCTTGAAGCAGACAAAATGCTAGGCTTCTGTTACATCTTGCTGGAGTAACCAGGTTTACATTAACTGGTTTGTAAATGAGTCTTCCAGAGAACACTTTTATGCTAACTTTCAGTGGAAATCTTTAAGATATTTTGAATCTCCAAATACCATGAGTTGTTGAATGATAGCAGTTTTTTATTTTACATCAAGTCTGCTAACTCCAGTTGACAGAATTTTTAACTTTCTTTCCATCACTGTCTTTATTTTTGTGAGGATCTTTTCTCCCTTTTCCCTGTAGGTCAACTGGACTGTGTAAGATTCATTCATGTGTTTATTTATTTATTCATTCATCCAACTCATACATGAAGGACTTACGTGTGCCAGGCATTATGACATGTGCTGGATGTGTGGTGATAAATAGAGTGGACAAAGCCCAGCTCTCTTGGCAGAGATCTGTGAAAAACAAATTATGAGTTGTAAGCAGGGTTACAGAGGAAAGGGCAATGACAAACATGTCTTAGGCATACTTAGTACTCAGGGCACCTGGTATTTTAAGAAGGAAACATTCTCAAAAGTTACTACCAAAAAGAAACAAACAAACAAATGAAAAACCCTTATCAGTCCTTAAAAATGTTACAAGAAACCTACCTTTTTTGAGACAGGGTCTCACTATGTAGGTCAGCCTAGACTTGAATTCACTGTGCACCCCAGGCTGGCTTAAACTCAAGGCAATCCCTCTGCCTGCCTCATCCTCCTGGAGTCCTAGCATTACAGGCTTGAGCCACCATGCCCGAGTCCAGCAGTACTCTTACAGTATTAAAGAGACCCAGTTAAGTAAAGGTGACTGTCTTCATTACTTTTCTCATTACCAAGACAGAACAACACCCACACATCAAAGGAGACAAGTTTGTTTCAGCTAACAGTTTGCAGAGGCTTTATAGTTGACTGGCTTCAAAGCAGGGTGGCATGGCAGAACCAAAACAGTCCATGGCAGGGCAGGCAGGAGGTGGCAGCAGCAGCATCGAGCCTCCCTTTTCTTTTACCCCATCCAGGCTCTAAGCCTTTTGGACTGTACCACCCACACCCAGGTGGGGCTTCCATTATCCCCACTGAGATCTATGCTAAATCAATTTAGTTATCACACACCCTAATCCAGTGTCACACAAGCATGGTCCAGCCACCCTCCCACTAGCCCCAGCTATGAGTACCCGAGGCTTTGGGGGGACGTTTAGATACAAGCCGTAACAGTGGCCAAACAAACATTTACCTCATTTTTTGGCCGTGTTTTGGCTTTTTGTTGGTTTGTAATTGTTGCTAATCAGAAAGGTCCCTCGGGTTTTGTGCCTTCAGGTGGCCATTGTGGTTATCAATTATTATAGTCCCTGAATGCTGCTTTACTGGCAGGCTCAGTTGATTTTTTAAGGTAAACCAGCTTTTTCTTTAATTCTGAACTAGATACAGTGGCACATCCCTATAGACCCATCTACTGAGGAGGCTGAGCCAAGAAGATCACTAGAAGACCCTTTCTCAACATAAAAAAGGCACTAGGGACATAGGTGAGTAGGCTCAAACCCCAGGAGCACCCCCACACAAAGAAAACCTTTCCATACTGACCTACCGTAAATACCCCAGACATAGCTGTCTTCCATCAGCCTCCACATAAGGTGACTGAACACAGTGGGTTTGCCCTTTGAGGAATGCAAAGCCAATAAGTACAACCAGGAGATTTTTCAAAAAATGAAGAAAAGCTTATTACAGCACAAAAGGGAGTGTATTTTCCGATGCAGTGTCCCTCCCAAACAAGAAGCCAGGGGATGGGGCTGGGGATTTAGCTCAGCGGCAAAAGCGCCTGCCTGGCAAGCGCAAGGTCGTGCGTTCGGTTCCCGGTACCGGAAAAAAACAAAAAAACAAAAACAACAAAAAAAAAAGAAGCCAGGGGAGTCCTTTGGAGAGACCCATCCTACTCACACTGAGAGATGCATCACTGTATGTAGAGATGGGGCATATTCCTCCCCAGCCCCTTCTGCCCATACTGAAGAGTGAACCCAGGGCATCATCCATGCCAGATAAGCACCTCTGCCCCTGAGATACATCCCAGCCCTGAGGCTGGTGTGTTCTTGCGCATGTGTGGTTAAAAATCACGCTTCATATCTTGCATGTTTGAAAACGGGGAATGTCGCCAGGTATGGCGGTACACACATATAATCCCAACACTTGAGAGGCTGAGGCAGAAGAATCACTGGAGTTCAAGGTCAGCCTAGACTACAAAGTGAGTTCCAGGCCAGCCTGAACTGCATAGTAAAACCCTGTATCAAAAAGACCAGAAAGAAAGAAAGAAAATGGGCAGGAGAATGCCTCTAGGGTGGAGGATTTAGAATGCAATATACTAAGCAAAGTTTACTCTCAGGCAGACGAGTGACTGGGAGATGTGGGCTGGTTTAAACCAGTCCTATGAGTTCTTTGCAGTTTTCTCTGGAGAATTTTATCTGAAAAAAACAACTTAAAAGGCTGGAGCAGGTTGTTCCCCCACCCACAAAACGTATTTAACCCTATGAGTTCCTGCCTGACAGTTTTACATGTTAGCTACAGAACTTCTTGTTTTCTCTATTTGCCAAAGCCCCTGCCCCACCGTGCCATTTTGTTCAGTACCCATTTTAACTACCTATTCACTCCTCTTCCTTGAAAGTAAAAGTTGACGTGGCGTGTGAAGGAAGAAGAGCGCCCATCATCCTAGCACAGCTTTGCATTTTGCATGCAGCTCTCAGGCCGTCTGCATGTGTACCTGCAGGTTTGCATGTAGCCCAGAGCGTAGGGCGTTGTCCGGGCTCACACTGTGTGGCTGACACTGCCCTCAAAGGCCCATTGCCACTATCAAAGACTAGTAGTATGCGTGCTTATTTGTGCTGAGAAGAGCAAAACAAACTGACTGGCCTTGCCATTTTTTATGAAACACTACATGCCAGAAAGGTTATGTTCTTGTAAAATCAGAATTGTAAAATTGTGCTGTTTATTTTTAAATTTTGAAAATTTCTGTTGAGTGCTATACATAGGCATTATTTATGAGTAAATTATCTTGTGTGCTAAGAGAAATTAAAAGGTGTGTTTTGAAGTTTTTTCAAAGAATTGAAATCTAATTGTTCCTGATCTCCTTGTCTTGAGGTCATTGATTTTGAACTCGTCAAGGTAACTCAGGTTGAATAAATAGCATCAGTTTGTTTTATCAAAGACTCAGATTTTTTAGTGTTTGTGATTGTTTCCTTGAAGAGTACAGTTCAGTCCCCTACTTTTAAATAAAACCAAATTACCAAGTTATAGCCGCTCATTCCAAAATGGGAAGCGGTTTAATCAAGACAGCGTTCGTTTGTGTTGTGGGTACCAGTGAGGGGGTGAGGACACGTACAGATGTCCCCGAAGCATGGGGTTTGAAAATGCTCAGCTAAATGTAAGTGCAGGCCTTAGGTCTGACTCTTAACAAGTATACACTTCCCACTACGGGGGAGAGGGTAATTCCAACCTTGATAATTCCCTTTTGACTCAGAATTTTCTGTCTAGAAACATTTGCTGTAGACCTCTGTCTACATATCCTCGGTTCTCGGGGAGGTTTCCATGGGATGGCTCCTGATCTTGTTTTAGCAGCAGTGGCTGTGGATCACTAGTATCAGAGTCATCATACTGCCAGTAGTTTGCAGTTAGTGCTGTGTCTCAGGTGTGTACATAGAAGATTTTCTCATTTACCGAGTATCTTAAGAGAAAGCGCTTCTGCTGAAAAGCCAGGTAAACTGTGTAATCCCAACAGCCAGCAGGCTGAGGCAGGATTATCATGAGTTCGAGGCCTGCTTGGGCTACGTGGTGAGTTCAAGGCCAGCCTAAACTATTTAGTGAGACCCTGTCTCAGAGAGCAGGGTAAAAAGAGAGATAAGAGAACTTTTATCAAACATAAACAGCTGCTTTGGGACATCTTTCAGGATGCTGAAAATACACTCTTCTCAAAGTGCACTGAACAACTCTTTTATTTAAAATGTTTAACATTACGTATGTGTAAATATAGATGGTGAGATGATTACTGTAGTCAAGTAAATTAACATATCCATCTTCTCACATGGTCTCCGGTGTGTCTGTGTGTGCGCAGCAGGAGCACCTAAAATGTCCTGCCAGCGAAAGTCCCACATACAGTACGACGCCATCAGCCCCACTCTCGTTGGACATTTGAGCTCATCCCATGTATCTACAACTTTGTATCCTTTGACCTAAATCTTCACGCGTCCTCACCTCCCTTGTTTGCGGTAGCCACCATTTTTCCTGAATTCATGTTTCCTGTTTTGTTTAAGATTCCACGTATCGGGGAGAGGGTCAGCTGAGAAAGTACCCATTGCTGTACCTTGCTGAACGGCCTTGGCCACCTGCAGGACAGTGCCTCTGACCGACGCTGTAGTGCTTGTTTCTCGTCGTGGCTGGCTGCTCTGTGCTTTTGTCCTGTAAGCTGCATTCCTAGGATTCCTAACGTCAGCACCAGGCTGTCCCACTCCTCTCATCCTTGCGTCAGCAGAAGTTAGGTGGACCGAGGGTCCCGCAAACCGTGCTACAGAGAAGTCCGCGAGCAGTGACTGTTCCGGTCGCTGCCCCGAAGGCCGTGTCTCACCATGGCAGATTAGTAGCTGGCGGTCTGCACAGCCGTGAGCTTGGGTCCTATTATCCGGAAGCAGAAGCCCCACTAGAGAGGCCAAGGCAAGGCTGGGGCTGCACGGTTCCGCTTCCCCAAGTAGTCCGCCAACCTTCAACTGCTGCACCCAACCCGCGTCCAACTTCAAAACACCCTTCAACAGCAGAGATTGCAGACGCCTGCCCGGCAGCCAGCGGCGCTGCTTGGAAGCCACAGCACCATGTTTGAGGCAGGTCCTTTCCAGTTTGGGCCGAGTAGTTCCAGGACTGACACCCAGTATGGTGGTTTTAAAAGCGTGGGTTCCAGAGGCCCATTGCCTCACTTCACTGTGCCCTTCGCTGTCCCAGCTATGTAATTTCTTAGCCCTCAGCTTCCCCTTTTATAAGAGAATATAGCTGGGCGTGGTGGTGCACGCCTGTATCCCCAGCAGCACTTGGGAGGCTGAGGCAGGAGTATCACTCTGAGTTCAAGGCCAGCCTGAACTACATAGTGAGATGCTATCTCAAAAAAAAAAAAAAATTCATCAGGATATTTTGATAAATAACACACCCTTCACACAGGAGTCATTCAGGAAACTTAGCCATTGCCAAACTCAGCCTACTTAGAATAACCTGTGACGGCTGTAACGGATTCAGCCGCTCATCACCTGCCTCCCCTCTGAACAGTGGACATTTTTTAACCCTGTATGAGTTCTCACAGTAGTTGCACAAGTAACAGAACTTCAAGATTAAATACCTTTATTCAAAGAAGGTAGTTCCTTGCCCATAAGAAAAGAAGCAAGCCAGGTGTGATAGCCCACGCCTGCCAACACAGCTCTCTGGGAGGCTGAGGCAGAAGGATAGTGAGTTTGAGCCTCCCTGAGCAGCTTAGCAATTTAGCAAGACCTTGACTCAAAAAATTAAGAAGGGCTGATGATGTAGCTCAGTGGAGAGGCCCTGAGTTCAGTCCCCTATACAAAAAGAAAGGGAACAGAGCAGAGGGCTTTAAACAGAATTACTCAGAATTTAAAACTTCTTGTTACAGGCAATCGTTTACCCACAGTTTTTAGTCTTGTATTTTTTTT